GATGTAATTCACATATGAATTACATGTGATTTACATGTAAATTCACTTGTAATTTACATGTGAATCACATGTAATTCATATGTGATTCACTTGTGATTTACATATGAATTACATGTGAATCACATGTAAATAAGATGTAATTCACATGTAAATCACAAGTGAATCACATATGAATTACATGTGATTCACATGTAAATTACAAGTGAATTACTTGTGAATTTACATGTAAATCACATGTAATTCACATGTAAATCACATGTAATTCACATATGAATTACATGTAATTCACATATATTTCACTTTTGTAATTCACATGTAAATCACAAATGTATTAGCAATTTTCAAGATGATGATAACACAATATATATTAGCAAAACTTGCATAATCTACCAAAAGTTGTTAAACTTAGTCATTATAGTGTTTTACAAAATAAAGTGCATACTAAAATTTTTGCCAAAATAGCCCATATAATTAATTAAATCCTAACATTCTACTGGATAACAAGAGCTTTGTTTTTAGACATTCCTATTCCTTTTTTTTCTATTACAATTTTTTTAACTTGTTCTCAGTGATCCTTTCAGAAGTTTTTCTAGTTCTGATCATTTTAGAAGTTTTTCTAGATCTTCCTTCCTCTGTCTTATGGACCTCATCTGTGTAATCCACATGCTCTTTGTTATCGACCTCATTATCTTCCTTCTTTTCTTCTTCACCAATTCCTTTTTCTGACATATTCTAGTATAGAAAAAAAATAGATGTTAGTTATGTTATTCGAATTTAAAATTTACTCAGAACTTTAAAAATATACCTTTGGGATTTCTTTTGATTTATGAAAGAAGTCATCAAATTCCTTAAGTTGTTCTTTGGTGATATTAAGAATCGAAATGATATCTTGCTCACTGTAATTTGATTGTCTCAAATCATTCAGAAGTTTACGAAGTCTTTCTCCTTCAATGATATGCTCGACTTGAACACATGCTTTTGGAAGATGTTGATTTTCCAAAGTTGTTTGAACTTTTTGAGTAATTTTCAAATTGTCAGGTTCTCCATCTATATTGTAAAATTTGTGCTGCACTCTATCTTTTTTAACTAAATCAAATTCATATAACACTTTTTCCCATTTTTTTAAATCTTCATTTTGCTGAAAATTTTCTTTTGCTTCTTCAAATGTTGATATTAACTTACTTTTCTTCTTACAAAGACTTTCAAAAGTTTTTGTCAAAGTTGACAAATAATCCTGCGTAAAATAAAAACATGTACATATATGTATATTATTTCACATCTGATTATGAAAACAAATATATATATATATAAGTATGTATATTTTGCATTAATATTTATTTATATATAACTATTTTTAATAAAGTTTTTATAGATTTTTACCTCAATCTTTTTATCTGTTATATTTTGCAATCTTTCAAGAATTTTTCCTGTTCCAAACATTCCAACTTTCATTTCGCTAGTTTCTCGTTTTTTCATTTTGATAGAATCCCAATTTTTTATTGTTGGACGTAATCGTAAATCATTTTCTTCATCGAATTGAACATGGTCAACATATAATAGCTGCATAAAAAGAACATAGTCAAATTTGTATGTTATAGTAAAAAATTTAAAATAATATTTTAAATAAAGAAATATTACCAGCAAGTATGTCAGTGGACCATAGAAGTACCCTTTACAATTGTGTGATACATATGACCTTGTGTTATTAATCAATGATTCAATTGTGTAACTACACCAGTCAATTTTTGAAAAATCTGTGGTGCTTGAAATCTTCTTTAATATATTCTGATTGATTTTACCTGCAGGTGTACTTTCAACTAGAGTGTTGCAAAACAGAACAATGAAATTGAGTTTGAAGTTGAAATCAGCCTCTTTTGATGGTATAATTGCATTTGTGATATCATTCAATCTAATGTTTTCTGCTTTATGATATTGGGATATCCATTTGTTGTAACATTTATCTTCTGCAGGTCGAAAACTAAGGTCTTCCACTTTTTGGTCACCCATTGGAATTCCAAGCATCTCATTCACACTTTGTCTGTCAACCTTAATTTCTCCATTTATAACTTTTAGTACCTTTTTATCTATATCAAAGCTTTTAATAACAAATAAACCAAGTGATGAAGGCAACTCATCAACTTCCAATTTCAATAAGCTTTTAAATCCCATTTCTTTAACACAATTCTTCTGCTCCAAACTAAGTTTCTTTATAATTTTAAGCAATGATTTTGGTGATGACCTGTTACGTATTGTTTTGAAATGATTTTCTTTTTCAGCCAAAACTATCTTTGGATAACTTTTTTTCTTTTTTATTTTGGGCTGTTCTTTTTCAAAAAAACAGTTTTGTTTATCAATATCACTTCTCTTTCTCTTTCAAACATTAGCATTCAAAGAACCTGCAAAAAATATTATTTGTAATAATGAAATTAATAGTATATTTTTTTAAATTAAAAACAAATAAATTATTATACAAGTTATAGATTAAAATGATTATACACATAGGATTGTATTTACTAAATTTCAATAACAAATTTTCATATAAGTACATATTCACATGTGATTAAATGAAAAGTATTTATTGTTATTTATTTTCATTTTTTCACATAATTAGATAATACCTTATTAATTGCATTCTATAATAAACAAAAAGCATGTAAACAAACAAAACATTATAAATTATTACTACATGGAAAAGTTGATTATTTGACTTAATTTGTCAAATCCTATTCAATGTTATTTCATATGTGATTTACGTGTGAATCACATGTAACTTGTATGTAATTTACAAGTGAATCACATGTCATTCGTATATAAATTGCATCTGATTTACATGTTAATCACATGTAATTCATATGTGATTTACATGTGAATCATATGTAATTCATATATGATTTACAAAGTGAATCACATGTAAATTACTCTTGAATCGCATGTCATTCATATATAAATTGTATGTATTCCAAATCAAAAATTTTAATTTAGATTCTGGAAAGTCAACACTTTCAGGAAGGCTTCTACACCTTTTGGGTCAAATATCTCAGAAACAAATGCATATATTTGAAGATGAGGCTAAGTTACAGGTATGAAAGAATGTTGAGAGTGCTAATTTTTTATTTAAAAAATCAGAGGAAAGGTTCGTTTACTTATGCATGGGCATTAGTTGAGAGTGCTGAAGAACGAGAAAGAGGGATAACAATGACAGTTGGAGTTTCCTTTTTCAAATCAAACAAATACGACGTTGTGGTGTCGGATTCACCGGTGCATAAAAAATTTTGTCCCAAACATGATATCAGGGTCAACACAAGCAGATGCTGCAATTCTTGTTATTGATGCATCACTTGGTGCCTTTGAAGCGGGTATCGATAGTGCAATTCTTGTTATGACATGTTATTGATGATAAATTTATCATCAATTCTTGTTATTGATGATAAATTTTTTATTTTCTAAATGAAAAAAAAATTATGACATGTTTGGTTTGTTGATTTCGGAGATATCATAAGAAGCTGAAAAACCATGAAAGAACTTAAGGTTCCACCATATCAATGTCAACATCATCTCTTCTACCGAAAGTAAAATCAAAGAAAGTTTCAATGAAAGGCTTATACCAATTTCTTGTATTAGAACAAGTAATACTAATTAGGGTTATTACTTCCTTTTCAGAAAACCAAAAACATAGACAAAAATTATGTAAAAATGCTAAATTACCTTTCATATTTAGAGTATAACGTTTTGAAGAAGTATCTTGTTGATCGATTTTCTTCGATCTTCTGTAACCATTTGAAGATTTATAGTGTTGATCGACCTTCTTCGAAGTTATACAACGCTTTGTAGAAGTACAGTGTTGATTGATTTTCTTCGAACTTTTATTTGAAAGAGGTAAATCACTTGAATGTTGTCTGAAGACATGATTTAGTTTGAATCGCTAGCTTTTGAAATACGAAGGAAACCCTTTCTATAATTTTAGAACCCTAAATGAAAAAAAAAACGCTTTTATGTGATACGAAAATTCAGTTTCGTTTGCATTTACAATATTAGCCCCCTTGTTTTTTAAATTGTTTTAGATTTGTATTCATTTTTTCATTTAATTACAAAAATACAAACCTGCACTTTCATTTTATCTTTTTAATAATATTTAAGATTTGAATAAAAAATGATTTAATGCTACAAATTGTATTATATTTTTATTTTTTATTTATACTTCATTATACCTTTATTTGTATTTATATTTATAATTTTGTATGATGTGTTAAGTATTAAGCAAATATATATGTAACAATTATATAAATAAACATATTTTTAAAATTATATTTTTAATAAATATAATTTATATAATGAAAACTATAGTAGATGGTATTTGCAAATCAAATGGATTTTCACTATAATCAATAGTTTCAACTATATGGTCCATCTCAAAAATTGGTGAATATATGTCTTTTGACATCACATCTCCATGTACTTGCCTTGTTGACATTAGAGAATGCGCTGATTGATGAGACACGATAATTTATTATTATTATTATTATTATTATTATTTGAATAAAAATATTAACATATTTTTATATAATCTATCATAATATTTTATTTTAAGAAAACATTGAAACTATATAGATATACAATGACTTTTAACTTTAAATTATGAAATTTTTAATGATACATTTTTTATTTAAAAGTTAATCAAATTTTTCCAAATTATACAATCAAAAGTCAAATATGAAGTTTCATAAGTAATAACAAAAGTTTTAATGAGTTTCATATTATGATCTCATTAGAGTTACATACTTCATAAATTTTGAAAAAAAAAATAACAATAATAAAAAAAATAATGCTTTTAATTCCACACATTACACTTCAAAGAAATAAAGTTTCATCATTTTTAATCTCAGAGTATCCTTCCATCTTTTTTCTTCCATCCCTTAGCCAAAAGAGATTTTATCTGTTCATCAGATTTTTTTGCAAATACTTCAGACTGCTGTATAATTTTTTTCCTGTGAATATTTATCTCACACAACAAAAATCTTTGTAAGATATTTCACTCTCATGTCATCCAATTGATTGTTATAGTTTTTTGATGATTTTTTATGAATTCCACAATTCCAATTCCCTGTACGATCACCCATGTAGACTTCCATATGTCTCATGAGAAAAACACCACAATTAACGTCATTGTTCCTACTCCTCCAATTCATTCTCAATTTTTCTGCCTCAACATTTTGTATTTGTAAGGCTGATTTGTGATTTACATTCAATTGGTATCTATTGAAGAGTAATTTCTGTGAAAATAAATAAATGAAATTAAAATTATTTTTCATATTAAATTTAATATATAAATTTATATATTTCTTACCAATTCACGAGCTGCATCACCAAAAGAAGTTTGTATCTTTGATGTTGTCAAATTGTTGTCCATGACATCAATTTGTTTTTCTTTTAAATCAACACATATGAGGCAGTAGTGTTCATCACATACAATAGGGAAAAATACCTATTTTGATCAAATATGATTAATATGTTAATGATATGACATTCAAATGTAATGTAATGCATATATAAGTCATTTGTCATTTACATCTGAATCACATGTAATTCATATGTGATTTAATTGTTATTTTACATGTAAATTACATGTGATCACATATGATTCATATATATATTACCAAATCAAACTCTTCATATATTACCATATGATTCATATATATAAGGGAAAAAATAATATTACCAAATCAAACTCTTCAAATGTGATTAGTTCTTTCTGATATTTCATTGCTTCTTTTATTTTTCTTTCAAATTCTTCAAATCTTTCAATTAAAGGTCTTTTTCTATCATACATGCTTGAAGTCTACAAAAAAAATTATATATATCTTTAAAGTTAAATTTAATATTTTAATTTTGATGAAATGAATAATCTTTATCAGAAACTTACCATTATTGTTGTATCAAAGAAGTATCTTTGCATTTGTTTTTTTGGAGAACTTTTTTCTTCAAAGTTTAAAACCTCAATCCATGCATCAATTACATTTTGATGAATATTCAACTTTGGCTGCAAAGTTTCAATCATCCCTCTAAGAACCACAATACCTTTCTTCACCTCAAATACCTTTTCAACTTCATCCAATTCTTCAGCTCCTTTTTCTTTTTGAACTTCGTGCTCTACATCGATTTCATGTTGTCCTTCTTTTTCACTTGTTTGATTACACCGCTCTTCATGTTGTGCTTTTTTTGAATTGGCTAGTTCTTCTTCAATTTTATTTTTAATTTCAAGCAGCTCATTGCTTTCTTTGAATTTTGAAACAGAAAAACTTAACAATTCTGAAATGTTCTTTTTCATTTCAACCAAATTCATATACTTCTTTATTAATTTACATTTCAGTTCCTGAAAAGAATATCATCCAACTTTAAAGAAAACTCTTATATTAAAATTATATTATTGAATACTAAATAAATATTAATATTAACATGCAAATGTTAATATAATAATTTAAAAATTCCAATTTATAAAATAATTTACATATGATTTTAGATGTAAATCATATTTTTGTGATTCACATGTGATTCTTATCCAAATCATATGACAATAATTATACTTATTTATATGTTTATATCATGTGTTGCAAAATATGAATCACATGTGAATAACATATAATCAAAAATTTAATCACATATGAGTTACATGATAATATATAACCTTAAATCACCATTTAATTCCATGTATTTCTGATCTGAAACAGATATAATAACACATGTAATTGATATATTGAAAACATTTGAATCAAATGTTTAATAACAAAATCAATTAAAATCATATATTAAATCACAAGTGAATTATATGTGATTTACATGTAATTCACAAATGAATTATATGTGAATTACATGTGAATCACATGTAATTCACATATGAATCACATGTGATTCACATGTAAATCACAAATGTATTACACGTGAATTCATATGTGAATTACATGTCATTTACAAGTGTATTACATGTAATCACAAATGAATTATATGTGATTTACATGAGAATCATATGTAATTCACATACAATTCACATATGAATTACATAATTCACATGTAAATCACATATGTATTACATGTGATTTATATGTAATTCACATGTAAATCAGATATAATTCACATGTAAATCATGAGTAAATGTGATTTATATGTAATTCACATGTATTTCAACTATGAATAACATATGATTTATATATGATTCATATATGAATATGTGATTCATATATTATTCATATGTGATTTTAATATGAATATCAATCAAGAATATTTTAATATGAATTATATGTAATTAAAATCTAAGTATCAAGTATGAATTTATATTTAATTTATATGTAATTCTCATATAAATTACCTCAATGCTCATATCATCTTCATCATCAGAATCAGAATCTTCATTAAAATTAGGAATCTTCTCATCAACATCTACATTTCCAAAAGATCCGCTGAGAATTTCTGCTCTTTCTCTTTTTGACATTTTATCAATATCCCAGTAATGTATTGGATGTTCTAATCTTTTGATTGAATCTTTCTTCAAGTTTTTCATGAAATCTAAATAAGCTAACTGTAAAAAAAAAATATTAAATAGATTTATTATGATGATAAAAATTAATTTCTTAATAAATATTTTTATTACCAGTAATACAAGTAGTGGTCCACAGAAGTTATCGGTTTTATCTTTTTCATCCCAATGAAGTTTGCAAACCTTTAAGCAATCGATTATATGTTCACACCAATCTACATCTTTTAATGGCAAAGCTTCATACAAATGTGGCAAAAGTATGTTCTTGCAAGTTCCTAGTTTTATTTGTTCACAAAACAAATTTAAAAAGAGAACTGCAAAGTCAAGTTGGAATATTTTTCCTGAATCTGAAGACTTGAGATATGTTTTTCAATTTGACTAGGTCTCATATTTTTTCCATTACATATATTTCTCCATTCCAAAAGACCAGTCTCAGTTTTTTCATTTAAATCAAATTCATTGATTTTTCTTCCACCTGTTGGGATTCCAAGTAAATTGTGAATCAGATTTGATGTGATATCTATTGATCCAACTGGTAGATTGATCTTCATTTTATCTGGATCAAAGCAGTTAACAACATATCGTGAAAGTTTTCCTGGAATTCCATTACTTGCCATTGTTAATAAAGATCCTAATCGCATTTCTCTGACTGCCTTCCTTTGTTGTTTATTAATTGATTTGACTACATCAAAAAGCATTTTAGGCCACATTCTTGTTCTCAATGATGTTGGATTTTCTGGATCTATTGGTTCTTTGTCTTTCTTGACAAACTTCTTTTTCTTTTTGAAAGTTTTTGCAATTGAACTTTTTACATCCTTATCAATTTCTGCATCATCTTCAGTAATTTATTTTCGTGTTCTTTTTCCTGATTAAGATGAAATGTAAGTTATTAATATTCAATTAATAAACTAAGATATAAATTTTTTTATTAACAAAGTTAAATGTTCTTTATTGTTAGTATCCTTCAGAATCATGATATCTAACTGTATTAAACAATTATATTTTTTTCTTTTTGTTTTTCCTTTTCCAAATTCATTTTATATATTTTAGTTGTTTGAAAATAACTTCATTAAGTTATTTTTGTAACAATTATATAAATATCATATTAAAAAATCATTAATAAAATTATATAGAAATATCTTTATTAACAAACCTTTTTGTTTTCTTTTTCCAGGATACTTCACAACACTGATATCTTCTTGGATTGGGCTTTCATTTATTGAAACAATATTCATTGACTTTCTTTTTCCTGTTTCAAATTCATTGGAAGTTGTTAATTGTTTCAAAATATATTTATGAGTTTTTTTCTATATACAATTAAATAAATATATTTTATTAACAAACCTGTTTGCATTTTAGTTTCAACATTCTTCATAACACTACTATCTAATTCTATTGGGCTATTCTTTCTTTGTCATGTTTCAAATTAATTGCAAAATATATAAAAGTACAAATTATTATTAAATTAAAAAAAAAGTAGTATTAACGAACCTTTTTGTTTTTGCTTTCCAGGTGCCTTCAGAACAGTGCTGTCTATTTGAATTGGACTAGACTGTTTTGAGCATATAATGTCCTTAATTCTTGGACTTTGTCTTGTTACTTTAAAATACAGATGTATATTTTATAAAAATTTAATTAGAATCTGTTTATAATTTTGAATCTCAAATGAATTATTTTAAATAACAATATATTTAACAAACCTTGAGGTACTTTGCTTGGACTGTTCTTACCAACTCTTTTTCTCCATATTTGATTCTTTTGCTCTTCAATCTCATTTTGAATATTGTAATCTATTTCTGTTTATATAAATATTCATTTAACTTTTAGACCATAACAAATTTTCAAGTAATTTGAAATAAAATATGTGAATGTTTTAATATTGATAATTTGAATATCATACTACATATTATATCAACAGGACAATAGTTAACTTCAATAGGGACAAATGATAGATTGTTGATGATTCGTATGATATTAAATTGGGAATAAAACAAAAACACAATAGTTGCACTGATGTTAAAAGAAACCTATATGCTAGAAACGAAACATGTAAATTACTGTAAAACTTTGTAAATTCATAAAATATCAAAATGAGAGAAAACAATTCATATTTTATCTACTAGAACAAGTCACAAAATTGCCAAACAGCCAATTAAACGGTGAATTGTTTTATAAAAATTAGGGTTTTAGATTTTAGATTCACAATCATTTTTATAATCGTATAATCATTCGTGTTTATTAAATCGAAGTTTTGTTTAATATAGTTTACCAACATGTTAGTGTTTATATTTATAATAAAAATTCGAATCTAATATTCAAACTTGATTTAAAAAATCTAGTGTTTTACTATTATGATTCAGTAACGAATCTATAAAATGTATAAACAAAACGCAGTAAGAGTATCGATAGAATGAAATACCTTCTACTTCCATGTTTTTTATCACTTTGATTCGAAATACACGATTCAAACTTTAATGATCATCGTCTGCAATTATCGTCTTTTGTGAAATGATAGATGAATTCGGATGTGAAATTAAATTAAATTTCTAGTAATGAAGTGTATATAAATTTTAGATCTGTCCTTTACCATAGTTAAGTTTTCTAACTAAAGTCAAATTTGTTTTTACGAAAATAGGCGTTATCGTTACTTTATTTTAATTTATTTTCAATTTAATTTTTTATATCTATTTAATATTATATATTCTAAAATTATTTATCATTTATTGTTTTTACTGTATTCCATAGCAAATCAGTTATATGTAAACATTTAAAATTATTTTAATTTATTTTCTATTAAATTTTTTTATATATTTAATACTATATATTCTAAAATTCTTTATCATTAGTTGCTTTTAGTGTCTTCCATGGCAAATCAGTTATATCGGTAAACATTCAAAATTATTTTTTGTTAAAGATAAGTGTTGAATATACTTTAAAAACAGTAAAAACATTTTTTTTTCAACAAAAAAAATAATAATATATAATATATAAAATACATATTAATCACATATTAGTTATATGAATATATAATATATAAAATACATTTTAATATACACTTGGTTTAGTCACATGTATATATAAATGATTTATTGTTTAAAAAGGTGTAATTCAATTTGCAGTCATCAAAACTCAACAAAGATGCACTTAACAATATGGATAACCTAAAATTGTCCAGTTAAATTCAGTGCAACTCACATATTAATCATTTTTTGAATCAAATATGATTCACATATTAATGAGAATTAATTACATTTAGAGGAAGAATCAGATGTGATTCACATATGAATGAGTTACATTTTAATAACAAATAAATTACATATTAATCAATTAAGAAACACAAATGAGTTATATAAATCAAAATAATTTAGTTTTTATATGTGAATATGAATCAGAAATCTGTTACACTCATTCATGTTGGGATGTATGTTCATTCAAATGTGAATAACAATTAATTCATAAAATTGTAGATAAATGAATAGGATGAATACAAACTGCAAACTACATAAAATCTAATAACTTTTAATAAAAACAAATAATAATACTATTTTAAAAATCTCAAAATGAATATAAAATTCAAAGTACATTAAAACTGTTGAGTCTATTTGTGTTGCGTCTTGGGCTTTTTGTTTTGTATCCGGGTTGGGCCTGTCCATCCGTGTTTATCTGTTAGGGTTATACTATAAATATGCATGCATGTATGCATTAGATGATGTTGATTATTACGTTCATTGTTTTGTAACCCTAAACACCTCTACAGTCGAAGTTCTTAATCGAGCTCTTCTGAGGTGTTGAAGTATTAATCATACGACATATTTAAAGCCATTCTTGTGTTCTTGATTACATTCTTAACTGTTTGCTTGCATAGAATCTAACGATCCTAATACAACGTTGTTCTAACAATTGGTATCAGAACAGGAGACTGTGTGATCAATACACATTCCTTCTGTATTCAGAATTCTTTAGGGTTTCCGCTTTTATCGTATAAATAGAAGTCGTCTTCTTCGTATCGACGGCAACTCTGTTTCAGATAAAACCCTAATATCAAGTTTACAGGTTTGATTCTAGCAGCTCACCATGTCTCACGAAGATTCGCAAACAAATCCCATCAACATCTCAAACAGCATTGGATCAACAACCAGGATACCCATTCTCTACACTCAAGACTATGAAGTATGGGCGCATCACTTTGAAGACTATGTGGTTGGATCTGAAGATAATGGTTATCTCATCTGGGAAGCTATCACACTTGGGCCGTTTGTTCATTCAGGAACGAACACGACAGTTAAGTCCCAAAAGGAATATAACAAGCTGGTGGCGAATGTAGAGAAGATGCCACAGGATGAGAAAGACAAGTTGCTGTGTAACGTGAAGGCCATGAGAATGATCAGATTCGCCTTGCAATCTGACACTTTTCGATTGGTTGGAACATGCACGACGGCCAAAGAAATCTGGGATAGGTTGAAAGAACTTTATTCAACGGATAAAGATCTGGAACACTCCATTCAAACCTTGCTGCTGTCAGAATTTGGAGTTTTCGAACAGAAACCAGAAGAAAAACTCATACAAACCTTCGATCGGTTCAATCATCTCCTAAGTAAGATGATCAAGCATGGAATAGAAAGAAAGTTGATCGAGCAGAAGGTGACCTTCATGAACGGTCTGAGACCAGAATGGATGGCTGTGGTTTCAACCGTGAAAGCGCATGAACAGTTTAAATCTTACTCACTGGCGAAACTTGTGGGAATACTTAAGTCCCATGAAAGTGTAGTAACCAAAGAAGCGAAAGTAGTTTCGGGTGTGGGATCGCTGCCCCTTGTCTCAAAAGCAAAAAGCATGCAGAAGAAGAAGAAGAGTCTGATATGTCTGAGTGTGACCTTACAAGCGAGGAGTATGCTATGATGGTCACCAACCCAAAGAAGTTTGCAAGAAGAAAATTTCCTGTCAACAAGAACCGAAACTGGCAGGGAAGTTACAGTTCTGAGAAGGTGAAGGACGAAGCGAAAGTCTCTTCTCAAAAGGATGAAGACAAGAAGGAGAGCAAACTTACAGGAGACTCTGGGTCGACTGCAACTACTGTCACGGCAAGAACCACTTTGCCAAAGATTGCATGCTAAGGAAAATGGCTGAGAAAAGAGATGGTGAAGATGATGAGACGTACTATATGCGCAAGTTGGAAGAGATCAAGAAAAAGAAGGCAACTAACAGCTCTATGAATGCCCTGATTGTGCAGGAGAATGCAGGTGAAGATGAGTTCGATGGCATCGAAGTTTGGTCAACCGATTCTGAAGATGAAGAGGTGAGAAAGCCCACTCATGGAAAGGCTTATGTGGCAAAGGAAGTAGGTTCGGCTGGAAAGTGTTTAATTGTCACAGCTGGCTCATCAACCGAAAGTGCAAATGAGGAACCGAACCTGACTGAGGACAAGTGTTTTGCAGCCAAGCCTGTGAGTGAGAAGATCAACGACTGCGATCGGTTAATCAAAAAGGTACAATCCATCCTTGAATCACTTAAAGTTCCAATAACATATTACGAAGAAGAATTAAATGAATTAAAATTTAAATTTTCTAACTTAAGTGGTAGTCTCATGCAAACTCGCTTAGCGAATTCTAACCTAACTGACCAACTCAGCAGGGTGTCTTCAAAAAGTGAGGAGAGAAGGATGTGGATTGAGCTGAAGGAGGCGGAGTTAATTAGGGCTAGGGATGAAAGTATTTATTTACAAAGAGACAATTTAAAGTTTTTAAAACAAAGGAATGTTTTTTGTTTAATTGCTAAGCGTTTATACTTTACTATTGCTCAATTGCATTTAAGTTGTGAGATAGGAAAGAAGATTCATAAGATGATATTACCCTTCCTTGAATTTAAGGAGGATGAGGTCATAGCAGAATGTGAATCAGTAGTGTCCTCAGAAGAAACGTCAATTCATTACAAAATCGGACTGGACAAAATAGAAACCTTCATTGACTCTAAGGAACATAAATGTATGCTCAAAGATCTTTTAGATGAAAATGATAGGTTAAAAATAAAGTCTGAAACTATTAAATCATTTGACTCGTCTAAATTGATTTTAGAAAAATAAAATGAACTTAGAAAATACGTCTGAATTTGATGAGGAAGGTGAGATGAGCGAAATCTCAGTCGAAGACGAAGTTGATTGCTCTTAGTTCATGAAGAGTGAAACCGAGAATGAGAAACCCCTTATTTCTGAAAATTCGGTTGAATTCGTCGCTTGTCGAAAGAAAAGCCACAGAAACTCAAGGAAAAAGCTATGGTCTATCAAAAGGTTCAAACTGCGCCGAATCAGGTATATACAGTTACAGGGGCCCACTGCTAAACAAACGGCAGAATTAAAGATCTTGGTCGACAAAGAAATGCTGAAGGATGCGACGATTACTTCTGGTCTGCCCCTATCGACAACGCAGACGAAACCGTAGGCTTATCTGAGCAAACTTCATGGAGGGTTAAAGGAAGATATGTTGCTGAACCCATCAACAAACCCTCAAGTTTTGACAAACCAAGCACAAGTGGAACTAAAGAAATCCCTGAAGAACCGATGACAGAAGCAACTGTTCCAGCAAATACAACCGAAAGTCAAAAGGAGAAGCCAAAGGCCAGCTTCAATATCCACAAATCACAGAAGGAGTTAGCCGAACACAAACGCTTAAGAAATCAAAGATACGCAAAAAATCTGAATGAGCGAAAACGTCACTGGGAATCCCAAAATCCCAACTACGTACCTCCTGAGAAAGAATCAACGGATAGAGGAAAGGAAAAA